GACCTCTTGGGGGGGGGAGGGCTCTCCCTGGCCCCTCCCCCCGGGTGCCAGGGAAGGTGGGTCGTGGGGGGGGTCAGGGCCCCCCGATGCTGCTCACGGTGGTGTAGCTGAACTTGGAGAGGGAGGCCCCCGTGGCCGTGACCTCGTCGTCCGGGGGGCGGGGCGGGTGGCGGCAGGGGGCCACGCAGCGGGCGCAAGTGGCGGCCAGGGCTTTGCGGAAGCGCTTGTTCATGAAGCAGTAGGTGAAGGGGTTGACGCAGGCCGAGGTGTACGAGAGGAGGTGGATGAAGGAGATGGGGGTGCCCGAGAGGGCCCGGTGGGCGTCGTCGGGGGAGAAGGCCCGCCACGTGTTGGCCACGTAGAGGGGCAGCCAGCAGACGAAGAACAGGACCACGATCACGACGAGCATGCGGATGACGCGCTTCTTGGCCTGCAGCTGGCCCTCCGAGCGGCTCACCCGGGCCCGCTCCTCCTTGGCGTGGTCCTCGGAGGTCAGGACCGAGAGCTCCACGGCGCCTCCTGCTGCGGACCGGGGACCCTGGATGTAGCAGCCGTCACTCTCGTCGCAAGCGGCCAGCGGTTGCACCCCCCCGTTCTGCTGGGCTGCGGGGGACACGAGACAAGCCGGGAGGATGCGGCAGGCAGGGGAGGCCAGACTGAGCGAGGCGGACGGACGGACGGTCGGAGCAGGTCACATGTGCCGCCAAAGAAAGCTCTGTGGAGGACACAGAGACCACCCCCCACCCCACCCCCCGGCACGGAGGCCTCTCTCGGCCTGCCCAGAGTCCCAGCCACCAAACCTTCTCCTCTGGATTCTCTGCAGCCCAGGGAAGCACCCCGCAGAGTCATGGCCGCCCACCCAGAGATCCTGATGGCCGTGGGGAGCCTGCGGGCCCCAGTTTGAGGGGAGGGGGTGGGACCAGAGGCTCGGGGCCGAAGGGTGGCCTGTTGTCCGGCCCTGCAAGCCAGACCAGCCAGGAAGTCCAGAAAGAGGCCGAGGGCCGGCCTCTCCGCCTACAGGTCCCCATTGCCCCTGGGGGGGGGCACTCTGCTGAAGCCCCCCCCCAACCCACTGACTGAGGCAGAGATCACTCCCCCTCGCTGCACCTTTAGACGTGAGCCACTCCTCAGGAGAAGAGTCCCCTTTGGGGGACCCCCCCCCTGCTTCCACGGCCCCTCTCTCGCAGCCCCTGCCCAGCCCGGGCCTTTCCCACCCACCCACCTCCCCGGGAGAAGCACGCACCTTTGGCTTCGTGGGCTTCCTGGGGGAGGTCCATCTCGAAGCGCATGCTGTGGTAGAGCTCCCAGGAGATCAGCCCGTAGGCCACGGTCATCACCAGCCCGGGGATGAAGAAGAGCGTGACCAAGAGCAGCACGTACCTGGGAGGCGGGAAGGAAGAAAAGGAAGGAAGGAAGGAAGCGGACCGCTGCATCCTTCCTTCCCACAGCATGGGACTCCCTGGTCCGTGGGGGGACTGACAAGACCACCCTGCCTGCCCACCTCACTCTGCAGACACCCTACTTCATTTCCGGAGGGGGGGGGACCCCTACTTTGAAACACTAATGTGCTAATTTTGCAGAGCAGTTCAGCAAAATGCTGGTTGTGGACGAACACGTATTGGCTGGTGCCCGTGAGGTCCCCAACCTTCCTCCCCAGTGAATCCCTGCAGCAGCTTTGCACCTTCCTGCAAAAAGGGAGTGAGCCACGGTCAGCACTGGGGGCCCCAAGCTAGCCTGATCGCGGAAGCTAAGCAGGGCCAGCCCCGCCTAGTCCTTGGAAGGGGGGGACCCCCCCACGGAAGACGCTGCAGGGCCAGGCAATGGCAGACCACCCCTGAACAACTCCACAGGGTCGCCAGAAGTCAGCTCTGACCCCAAGAGACGAGGGGGCCGCCGGCTGAGCCCCCACAGTGGGACAAAACAGGAGTCGAGTCCTTTGGCGTAGACCCCCACCTCCCACCAAGGAGCGTTTCAAAAACAAAACATGAAATCCACCAAGAGCACATTTCCAGAATAACGTAGTAAATGCATTTATTCATAGCTGCTTAATTCAGGGACATCTTGTGCACATGTATTAATGGTGCTAGAATTTATTCATAGATCGGCAAGGGCACTGAAGGGAACAGAAGTGAGGGGTATTTATATGAAAAGACCGATTTGAGGAAGCAGGGACGCGTTAGCTCACCCAACTGAGCCCTGGCCAACTGTCGTGCTCGAACAGACTTTCTACGCAAGCCGTTCTGCAGAGCCGCCACCACCCGACCCGAACGGCATTTTTTTGGCCCTCCGTAAAAGCGGCCATTGCCTCCCTCCCCCGGGCAGATGATCCTCAACCTGGGCTCAGATGGAGGAAGAACTTCTGGCATCACAACATTTCCCAGCTGTGCCCCCCCTCCCAGTCCCTCCTTCAGCGGCTTCTGCAGGCCTTGGAAAGCCAGGACGTCACCCGGCCCCCTCCCAAACCCAAGGCCAGCCGGGTAAACGTGTGACTCAGTCCCCCTGGCGTTACAGGATCCTCCGAGAAGCCCAAGCTGAGGTGACGGATGGCCATGACTTAAAACAGGAAAGCCTCCCTCTCTCCGGGGACCGTTTATGGGTCGTCCAGAGACGAAGGGTCGGAATGGCTCATCCACCCGCGGACTGTCTGGGCCCCGCCACCCACGGGGATGCGGCACCCTCTTGGCTCTGACTGACCCGTCGGCAGGCTGGCGTCCCCCAGGTCTCCAGAGCCAAGCAACGGGGCCAAAGCCCCTTCCCGAAGGTTCAGAGCAGCTATCTGGTCGGGGAGGAGGAGCAGGCGGGCAGCAACCCAGCCCCAGGCCCCCGTCCCCAAACAGCACCGGCCGATTTGCACCCGGTCTTTCTGGCCCCTGTGTGACCCAGAGTGTTGGACTGGATGGGCCACTGGCCTGATCCAACATGGGCTTCTCTTGTGTTCTTATGATTCGGACCCTTCCCAAAGCGCTTTCCGCCCCGTGGTCTCCCGCTCTCCTAGCCCCGCTCTAGCGAGAGGCCCCTCTGAAAGGCGAAGGGAGCCCGCCCGGCAGGACCGTGGCTAGCGCCTCCCGTGCTAGAAGGGGCCCTTTCTCCAGTCCATGAAATATAACAATACAAGTCACGCTGACACCTTGCCACCTGCCACACTCGCAGTCAGAGGGGCAGAGAGCGATGTGTTTCAGAAGATCACATCCTTGAGAGCCAGTTTGGTGTCGTGGTTAAGTGCGCGGACTCTACTCTGGGAGAACCGGGTTTGATTCCCCCACTCCTCCGCTTGCACCTGGCTGGCTGACCTTGGGCAAGCCATGGTTCTGTCAGAGCTGTCCTTGAAAAAGAGCCGTTTCTGTCAAGAGCTCTCTCAGCCCCGCCTGCCTCACAGGGGGTGTCTGTTGTGGGGAGGGGAAGGGAAAGGAGTTTGTGAGCCGCTCTGAGACTCCCTTGGGTAGTGAAGGACCATGGGGTATAGATCCAACCTCTTCTTCTTCTTCTGAAGCCAAGGGCACTCGGGGTGGGGGGGCAGCGTGGGGTGTGTGTCAAGAAGTGGGGTCTGGACACCACCCCCACAGAGAGGTTTTTCTATCCAGAAGATTTCCTGACCTAAAAAATTATTCTAAACCCTTCAGGGGAAGGTTTAGCAAAACAGAAGTTTGCGGGAGGGGCAAATTGGTGTCCCAGGTGTCCCCCCCTCCCACTGGCAACAGCCCCTTGGTATGTGCCTGAACGTCCTCTGTGCTGATTACGGGTTGGGGCACGTCCCTGAGCCTGCAGGGGCCATTCACGCTGGCATCCCACACTGGTCGGCAAAGACCCCCCCCGCCCACCCCACGCCTACTGCGCACCCCGGCAGGCGCAACTCACCAGGCCTGACTGACATAGCTCCCCGGCCAGTTGTGTTGGCAGTGGTAGATGCCGGGGTGGGCAGCCGCGGCGGTCGTGGTGCTGTAGATCGGGTAGGGCAGCATGAGGAGGGCCGAGAGCAGCCACGTGGCCACGATGACCCGGTAGGCGTGAGAGCGCGTCTGCCACACGCGGGACTGCAGCGGGTTGCAAATGGCGTTGTAGCGCTCGATGGAGATGGCCACCAGGCTGAAGGTGGAGACGCTGACCGACATGCCTGCGGGGGGGAGGAGGGGGTCAGGCCGGGCCCCGGTGGGGGGGCTCCCCGTGCCACGGCCAGGCACCTCCCGGGCAGCCACCCCCAAGAGGCGCTCCTGCCACCAGCCCTGCCCTGGGCACAGAGCTGGGATGACAACCCACACCCGGTCCCCGGGAGAAAACGGCTGCTTCGGAGGGTGGGCTCTGTGGCTCTATACCCTGCTGAGGCCCATGGCCCCCCCAGGCTCCACCCTGCCCCCAAACCTCCAGGTGCTTACCAACCCAGAGGGGCAACCCCCAGCCAGGAGGCAGAAAGCCAAGCGGTACAGGCACCCGGGGCGGGGGAGCGAAGATGGCCGCTCAAGGCAACCTCGGACCAGAACAAACCCCTTTCTTGGCCGCGCGCCCGGCACAGTGCTGAGAAACAACCTCACCTCCCGGAAGGCCTCGGAGGACCGGCTCCCGCCTAGCTCCGTCCCTGGTGGGGAGGCACCCCGTGAGGCCTCCCATCCCCACATCCCCGCCCCACGCCGGGCGCACTCACCCATGAGGTAGGCCACGGCCTTGCAGACGACCTTGCCGAAGACGAAGGTCTGCATCAGGGTGGGGGTGGTGGTGA